AATAGATATGTAAAATATTTATATATGGGTATAAATGGATTATCCAATAATATCAATTTATTAAATGGGTATTATTGGGTAACCCATCAAATTCAATTAACCCATTTAGAATTGTATTCCCTCAAACCTCCTATCTTCCCTCGCCCAATTTTTTTTTTCAGATTTTTCATTTTGTTATAATGTTAACTACTTTTGTTTCATTACTATTATTATTATTTGTTGATGTTATCTTATCATTTTATTTTCTCTTAGTTTGTTAACTTGTTAACTTTTATATTATTTAGTTCAAAATTTTATATTCTTATTATTCAATTATTAAATAGTATGTAATTTTGTGACATAGAGTATGAATAGACGTTTGTGGAAAAAAAAAGTATGAATGGAAAAAAAATTAGTAATTAGATTTATTGAACATTATAAATAAATATTTAAAACCAATGATGGGTGCAAATGGTGGTGAAAATTGATAATTTAGTTTACAAAAATAAATTTAAATGAATTTACAAAAAAATTAAAATAAATGGATTATAAATGGGTAATTGGGTTATCCAATTCATTTTTTGACTTACTCATTTATATCCATCTAATTAAATGTGTATAAATAGATTGACTCACTTATACCTATTATCCATTTTAATCAACATAAATCTATCCAAGTAATTCATTTTGACACCTCTAGTGTCAATCAACGACACTAATAAAAGAAGAAAAAGAAGGGAAAAAAGTCATGATGGCTCTCTAACTTTTTTTCAAGTTAAGTTTTGTCCTCCAATAATTAACAATAAAGTTTTGGTTTTCGACTAAAAAAAAAGCATATTCGTGATCCTCCAATCAAATTCAGCAATTAAGATAAAAGCATCATTCCGTGAACGCTTGAATTTCAAGGACATTATCATCTGAGTAAAAAAGCACTTACCGAGGAAAAACTGAAAAAGACAGCTTCTTTTCTGACCTTCAGTTCCTAGATACATTGGAGCAACAAAAATCTCCATTGCTGTCAAAGTCGGAACTCACAATGAGAAGAATGAATAGTTCCCCTCTACCATGCAGATGTGACAAAGAGATCAGGATGATAAAAGGTCAAGAATTGTCGCATCAGAGTGCAACTGTCAATCAACGACACTAATAAAACAAGAAAAAGAGGTAAATTCTGTAGTGTATTCACATATTTGAAAGACAGGTGTGGAAAGCAAATGATATGGCCAAGAAGCTGGCACGTAGCAACCTGACATGTACGGAGATGAAGGGAATGTTTCTAAAAAAGTAAGTGGTGACCTATAACCGCGGTGAATGTAGCGTACGGCAAATGTTGGAAATGTATTGGGGTGAAACGGAATTAACATAAATATAATGGGGTAAGGAGTAAAAAAAAACCCGTTAACTTTATTAAAACAACCCCAATTTTCAACTCTTTCGTCCATAATAACAACGCAGTACCCATATTGGAATGCATTTTAGAATAAATAGCCAACTCTTTATGGCTTTCCTGCACTACAACTAAAGATTAAATCCATTTTGGATTCGTCAATCTTATATTCAAACGGGTGTCCAAGTTTAAAAGTTTCAGCTCCCCTTGGCTTTCTTCCATCACAACAACATAATACCGAAGGTGGCATAAAGAGAGACTGATTTATCGGATAAAAAGAAATTAAACCCGTTGGTGAGTAAAAGACCAGCTCTTTGTGCCTTTCAACCATTACAGTGACAGAGTACCCAACGTGCCTTAAATACAAATGTTGGGTAATGGGATAAAATTTAGTTAAAACGGTTGTCTTATAAACGACCGGCTGTTTGTGGCTTTCGTCCATCAGACGTTGAGGAGAACCCAATTTCGTAGAATACAAAATTTTGGATCGGAAAGCATAAAAATTAACAGCCGGTGTCGGTTCTGTTGTATAAAACATCGAAGAAATTGGGAAAGCAGTACTAAACAAAGCCATGCTGGGGCCACCGAAGAGGAAGCGTATTAGGTACTAAACACACAGCCATGTTGGGGCCCGCAGTGATGCGTGTGTTTGAAGACAAGTGGTGACGTCGGAATCGAAGGCAAAAATTTGGTAAAGAAGAAGTCAAGGCGGAATAGACAGAGGTGGTGTCTACTGGCGTAAATTTAGGCGCAGGCGGTGACGGTAGATATATCTGAGGAAGGCCCTTGCGAAGCTGTGGTGACACAATGCAGCGGCGTGGAACAGAAGCAGAGAAATCAAAGGTGAGTACTTTTTTGAGTTTTTCCATAACTTTGAAAAATGGAGTAAAATAACGAGTAAAACACCTGTACGTCTACTAGGGTGATTTCTACAGTTCTTGTAAGAGGCAATGATAGAGGAATAAGGAATACGAAGTACGGGGTGTAAGACCCTGCGTCTTCGAACGAAGATGTAACGAAACCGGGAAATTATCGCAGTTTATTTGTGCACGGAGCTTTGTGTACGTACGTAGGAAATCTTGGTCCTGTAATTTGTATTAAATAGTGTAAAGGAAATTAAGCAGAAATGAGTGAAGACGTGAAGAAGACGTTGTAACAGGACTAAAGTCTTAAAATAGAGTGATTTGGATGGCCGTGTGGACATCGATAATGGCCCCCATACAGCATTGCGCATGGTTATGTGAAAAGAATTAAAGAAACACACAGTAGAGGTTGAGTTTGTTGGTGTTAATGAAAATGCATGTCGATAGTGGTATTTTGTGCTAAAGGTTGATATAATTGCATCAGCCACACTTATAAAAACTGTGTATATGAATGTTAGAGTAATGTTTATCGTCTGCATTTTGTGAAAGTTGTGAGGTAAAGTATGGTTTGTTAAGTGAAATGATCGTGTATATATGTTTTGTTCCATTAGTAGACGATCAGTATTTATGTTACAAACGAAAGCATATGGGGAGGCTGAAAAAAAATGTTAAGCGACCATGGTTAGAAAAAGCATTGAACAACCACACAGGGGTTGTAAGTATGGGGCAGGATGGGGTGCTTAAAACTCATGACATGGTGCAGGAAATAGAGAAGGGAAAAATGGGGATGGATGGTTGCGGCAGGTTAATGTCATTTGACCTTGCTCATAAATGAATTAACAAATCTTGCGCCAACTCTTTGACATTCTACTTTCACATCTAAGAGGACATTGAGTTAGTCCAAGCTGTTAAAACTATTAAAATTCAATAATTTGGACTGTGGGGAAACGGCATTGAACATAAACAATTGACAATTAGTATCCAGAAGTTAGTGTTTGACAACCGGTTAAATGCACAAAGAAGTTCAGGATTCTTGTGCATATGTTCACAAAATATTCGATTTGTAAATCACTAGGCCTGCATTGCTCCACATCCAATATAAGGACGTACGTACAATATAGTGGCAACACAAGGATGAAGAAGTTCTATTCCCAATCATAGCTATAAAACTCACTCGGTCCAACCCTGTTGTTGAATCATTCGCCCGGAGTGAACTAAGCTCTAATTTGATTGGATCAGGATCAAACTCGATCAAGCTTATTTGACTTGCCAGTTGAACCAGCCAAATGAGGGATCTGGCTGAATTTTTTGGTGGCATGTTGAGTCCCTGTAAACAAAATCATATACTCTTATCGGTAGATTAAGTCTCTACTTGTTGATTTTTGGACATTCAGATCTATGCTAATTTGCCCGCCCCCCCTTTTTTTTGGTTTGGTTTCTTTCCTAGTCTCTTGAGGGACTTTTAGACCCTGTTTAATAACCTAATTTAGCATTTAAATATAATGAGTTCAAATCATAACATGTTCAGATATATTGATAACAAAAAATAGAACATCTGAATTAATTAAATCACACTGAATTTTTTAGACAAAATTTACTCCAAGAATTAAGTAATAAGTTATTCACTTATTACTTAATGTGATATACACCCAAATATATCAGATTTAGTACTTAACAATTTAATAATTTAATAGATTCAAACTTTAGATTTCAGATTTCAATTTTCACACTTTAGTTTTATCAAACGTGCCGTTAGTCTATTACTGGGTCTGTTTGCTCTTTGTGTAATATGGGTTTTTCTGTTAATTAAAGACAAAATGATAAAAAGGATCTTTGCATTACAAGACTACTAAATTTATTTCTTTTCCTTTTTGCATTAGGTATCTGTTAGTGTTTTAGTGACTTTAAATGCTGCTTCATTTCGCCCTAAGGCATTTTCACTTCAACTTCTGTTGTCTCAACGAAGAGTTTATTGGACTTTATCGATCAGAATCATGAAGTAGGTATACAAGCAAGCTGCCTACTAGATCTAGTGGTCAATTTCATGAATGTAAATACTATGACATTTTTAACAAATTATTCTCATCCTCTTTATCCGAGAACCTAAAAATTTTTAGAAGGTTCAGATTAAAAAAAAAAAGGAAAAACAAGAAGAAAAGAATTTAACATAATTGACATGGAATCACTTTTAAGAAATTAATATAGGCTCACAATAACAATACCCTATTAGGATGTTAACAAAAACAAAACAAGAAAAAATATCTATCTATAAGTTTTGCATCTTCAGTGTCTGCAAATTGAATTGTTTTAGTGTGGGATAATGATCTTGTGGATACAGATGCCTAGTGTCCATGAGATTAATGACGAGAAAGAGAAACTCGTGGAATGGAAATCAAGAATATATTGATTGATATAATGGTGAGACAGTACATTTTTCTTAAAGCAAGTGGCAACACCATATTATACTCATACACTTTGATTAGCCAGATTTAATGTCCACAGCCATCTAAAATCGCATCTAATTTTAAAAAAAAAATTCCGTGGAAATTAATACATATGGGTGATGGATACACTTCTCAAATGCCAATTTCATCAGAAATAAATTTTGCAATGTGATTTTATCATTTTCATCATATTTAACACGTGAAGTCTCATTTTTTGACTAATCCTCAAGATAAGACTTTGAGAGCAATATAGGTTCCCAATAGTCATTTTCATAGTTATTGGGAGTATTCAATAATGCTTTTAGACAATAAGAAAAAGATTTTTCTGCCAGCAATTCTCTTCTACAAATAGAGAACTCGCATGTTGCTATAGTGCAGTATAGACGGGCTGCATAGAAACATTAATTTAGCAGCAATGGTTGCAAGAAGCCTCCTCTTCGTCTTCCTCCTTGCTCATTATTTAGGTCATAGCTATGCAGCAACACCAAGTCATTATTCCAGACCTCCGTTCAACAGAAGTAGTTTCCCAGATGACTTTCTTTTTGGAGCAGCTACTGCTGCTTATCAGGTATACACTGGTTAACCTAGACGCTTGGAAAGTAAAATGCATGTATTATGGTAGAAATGTCTATTCAAGAAACCAAATTTTCCCGACCCTTGTGCCCTTGGATTCTGTTTCTAAGATCAATCCTTCATAAATTTTCTTTTCTTCTCTGACAAAACAGAAGTAGGGTTTTCTTGATGGCTGCTGGCTATAATTTGAATTTTGTGTTCTAATAAGTTATACAAACTTGTCAAATTCTTTGTTTTTGTTTAAACCTTTTTTTTTATATTATTATTTTTTTGAATCTCAGATTGAGGGAGGAGCTCATGAAGGAGGGAAGGGACCGAGTGTATGGGACAATTTCACTCACACGCATCCAGGTTATAAATCAACATCCATCTAATTTTTCCTGCATTCATCAATTTAGTTTTTAAAATTACCATGAAGCCCCAAGTTACTTGTTCATTGAACAGGTAATTGGTCAAGAACACAAGAATACTAAGTCATATAGCTTAACAAAGGCATGAATGACCCTTGGAAGCAAACTAGAAAATATAGAAAATGACAAGGAATAGACTAATTTGCATTTAACTTTTACCACAATTCCACAACTTAAAAGAAAAAAAAATCCCAACTGTTTGATGGTAATCGATTAATCATGGTCACCAACCACAAATAATCACCAAGAAATTTGCAACTCTTGTCTCTCGCCCGTAACATTTATTGCCAATTTCTTCCGAAAATTACTGGTGCAATAGCATGTAAAGAATAGTTTACCTATCATGGTAAGTCTAATTAATTATAACAAATGATAACTGACATTAATTAACTGTTCTGCATAGTTAAATGATTGCCATCTTTATCACCGTCATACTTAGTGATTGTGACTATTTTGCTAGCTATGAAAAAGCCAATACGAGTACTACTCCCTTGATTTCTACCTTTCGTGTTGAAAAATCAACAAACTCGTTTTAGCAGATGGGAAATTATTTAAAGGGCTAATTTCAGATACCTCCCTTGAGGTTTCTAACAATTACACTTAAATACTCTCTAAAATTAAAAATTACACTTACCTCCCCTCTCTGATAGATGTGACAACACGTTAGCTCCAAAAGCCTCCTAATGACCAACTTGCCCTCAAAATGTTGTGGCTAATATTATTGCAAAAATGTGAGAAAAAAATTGCCTACAACAATAATATTTTTTTATTTGCTTCTTGGCGCAAGCATCTGCAAAAGAAAAATTGATTTTGTCATTTCTCAACTGTTATCTTGAGAAGCAAAATTGATTTTATTATTCCTCAACTGCCATAGGGAGGAAGAATGCCAAGAGTTAAAAATAGCATTCATTTTTTTTTTACACTTTATCCATCTTATATACTGCCAAAATAAAGCCGTTGCAACTTGTCCAACTCTTCTTGCTTTTAACAGTCAAAAGTGCAGAATTGTATATGTATTCTTTGTTGTACTGAGAGGATCCATACTATTTTCATATTTTTTTCTCTTTTTTAATTAACTTTTATAAACAAAGTGGTAAATGTTTCGTTCAGAATATAAAGAGGGTAAAGTTGGCAAAAACTTGTGTGTCAGTACATTTTTCCCACTTTTTAAACTTTCTTTTAGTGACAGGAGGTGCAATATTTATCAAATGTGTCCATCAAAGGTAAATGAGTGTAATTTTTAATTTTATAGAATATTTAAGCGCAATTGTCAGAAACATCAAGGGAAGTATCTGAAATTATCCCTTATTTAAAAGCTTTTACAGCTGATTCAATAGTCAATATTGCCAGCATCAAGAATTGGTCAGAACCGCGAACACGGTTTTTTTGAAAGGAGCGGCAGTGCCCACGTACATAATCCTTATTCAGTTGTTTTATAATACTTAAATTATTTTTTAAAGATTATTAACTCAAAAACAAACTTGAAAAAACAAATGTAAAATGTTTGATCTTGAAGAACTAGCATCAACTTTTGATACTTGTATTAGCATCTGACGAATCAGTATAACAAGAAAATTTCCCTTACAAAATGGTTTTCTACGTAGATGAAAATCGGATAAGCTGATCGACACGAACTTTCTTTTTTAAAAAATTATCTGAACAAAAAAAATTGTGCATTTTAGCAAAATTTTTAGGCAAGAAAATTGTCAGATTGAGACCATGCCTTAACCTTAAATATGCCAGCCGGGCCAAAAAATTCTCACTTTAAAACTGCTCGACCCGGCTGGATTTCACTATTCAGTCAAGATTGTCCTCTGTTAGGACATCACTTTTTTTTTTTTTTTTGGTTTAAATTTCCCATATACTTCGATAGCTACATATATTAGCTACAAACAAAAAATCCTGAGCCCACCAGCCAGCTCCCTTTGTGCTTGTTTACAAATCACTGATGCATGCTAAGAAAGATTAATTTTTTCTTTTTCAATACTAGGAAAAAAAATAATTATTACAAGATTGATGATAGAAGCAGTCCTTTGTTTCCTACCAGTATTATCCCTACAAAATCTAGTACAGAAATCTAATGTAAGTCTGATTGTCGTCACATCAACTCTTACAAGAAATTAAAGAATGAGTTACCTCAATAGTTTGTCATGACCATACTTTTTTCTTGCAACTAGCTATGTTTCTTGTCACAATCAAAAGATTGAATTCTTATAATTACAGCAATAGAGACATTCTTAAAAGGTCTAGACTGTCAAATTTCCTTTCTTTTTGACCAGCCTTTTATTGGTGACATTTGACAATCAATTTTTTTATTTGTCAATTTTCTTAAACATTTACAGAGAAAATATGGGATCATTCCAATGGAGATGTAGCTATCGATTTTTATCACCGCTATAAGGTGAGTACTTATTTCTTACTCTTTCTTTTTTTTTTTTTAAACTCTTCTCTTTTTGTTGCTCAAAAAGAGGAAGGGAAAAAGAAAAAGAATCTGTTTCTTTTTTCTTATGGATTAGCAGTGAGATACACACCAGTAGCACAGTGCACTTATTAAAAAAGGGATATTCAAACAGAAATGCAGCTATTAACAGAAACTAAATGTCTGTGCAGCATTTTTTTTCTTTACAATTTTTTTTTTTGTTTCTATCTCTATACTTTTCCATTTTTTTTTGAACGAAATAAATCATATGGTAATATTCCAGGAAGACATCCGTCTAGTCAAGAATATGGGTATGGACGCTTTTAGATTTTCCCTCGCATGGACCAGAATTGTACCAAGTAAGAATTACCTTCATGCATAATTGTATTTTTTTTTACCCTATCAGTCCTTGCACACTGTAAAGAAACCAGTCAATTACAAAATCTGCAGACAAGAAAAATTTTTTTAATGAGAAGTAGAAGAGAGACATTTCAGTTGAAACAACAATTAATCATTATCACCTTTCGCTGTTCCCAAACTCTTGTACTACACATAAAAATATGAAGCAAGTAGAGATGCTATAACAAGAAAATCCCATGAGCTGGGAAGATAATTAATTAATCTTTGGTTTCTTGGTCTCAAACCAAGTTAAATTGTTTCTCTTGTAGCTGGGAAGATAAGCGAAGGCGTGAATCAAGAAGGTATCAAGTTCTACAATAACGTGATTAATGAAGTTATCGCACTGGGTAATCATTTTTACTTAGTCTGTACGATTTTCTTTTGTATTTTGCTTTTACCTAGTGGAATAACCTACAATATAACCAATCGATCATACCATGTATTCAATGTGCAGGATTAAAACCCTTTGTCACACTTTTCCATTGGGATACTCCCCAAGGTCTTGAAGATGAATATAAAGGATGGCTACATCCCCACATTGTGTAAGTTCTGATGCTTATAGTTATAGGAGCCTCAAACATTAAAGCCATTATCAAAATCTGCAATGTACATAGTACAGGGACCATTTCTGGTTGAAAACAGCAATAGATGCTTATCAGTACTAATTGGGACCATGTACAGGGACTACTTATTATGGATTTATACATTGATTTATTTGGGGACCATTTTAATTTTCAGGGAGGATTATAAAGACTACGTAGACATCTGCTTCAAAGAATTTGGCGATCGAGTGAAGCATTGGATTACCTTGAATGAGCCAATATCTTTTAGCATGTATGCATATACAACAGGGACATATGCACCAGGTCGATGCTCGGTTTATGCAGGAAATTGCACAAATGGAAATTCTGGAAAAGAGCCATATATTGTAGCACACCACTTACTTCTTGCTCATGCTACTGCAGCTAAATTGTACAAGGAAAACTATCAGGTTAGAAATTCTATCAAAACTAGAATCCTCACATAACTACTTAACCCAAAAAAAATAAAAAAAGAAAAAAAACTTCACCCAACTACAAAATCTCCCATGTCTCTCCCCGCTTCTTAAGTCCTATCCCTTCCCTGCTGAAAAAAAAAAATTTAAAAGAAAAATCATAAAAAAACTGCAAAAATCTGTATTAGCTATTTATTTTCACCTATGTATGCATGTTTGCAGAAGTCTCAAAAGGGACAGATTGGAGTCACCTATGCAACTCATTGGTTTTTGCCAAAGATTAAGACACCAGAAGGCCTCAAGGCCCCTTATAGGGCCCTTGATTTCATGTTAGGGTGGTAAGTGTTGGTTGTTTAAGTTTCATAATTGTGGTCCCATCTTCGACTAAGACTCATTCAATTACCTGTAAAGCCTTAATTACATGTCAGTTTAATTTTTAGTTTTCAGTATCACATTAAAGTTGAAGTGTTGGTTCTCCTAATTATCAATTTATTAATTGAAGCCCAGTTTTGCGGTTAGGATAATTCTAGTGTGTAAAATTTGAAATAATTAAACTTGTGATGACACTTAGAAATTTATATGCGGCAATTAATCTCCATAAGTAGAATCATTCCAAGTTTTTTTTTTCATGAGTATAATTATCTAAGTATGTACAATGGAATCAGTTATAAGAATTTTAAAATTTTCCCTTTACAAATATGGTTTGCTTTTACAATTAATGTACCTTAGCAAAAATTGATGTTTTTCAGGTTTTTGCATCCAATTACATACGGAAATTACCCACCAAGCATGAGAACAATAATTGGGAATCGACTACCAACATTCACAGCAGCTCAATCCAAGATGCTAATTGAGTCAATTGACTTCTTAGGGATGAACTACTATACTTCCAATTACGCATCCCCTGCACTAACTTTCAACAGGGTTAACCTCAGCTACATGACAGACAATCACCTCATTTTTTCAAGTAAGTGTGGGAAGGGACCAAAAAAAGAAGAAAATAGACATAGTATCAACAAAATGTTATTCATCACTAGGCCTTTTTTGGATATTAGATGTTTCAAATCATAATGAAAACAAATCAAAACTAGAATAAAAAACCAAGAAATGAATTCTTAGTTTCTCCTGTAAATACCGTCCCTCATTCTATTTTATTTGCATTTTGTTTAAGTGCCATATAGAAAATTATTTCCTAATGTTTCATGTCCCTTTACTCTGATTAGATATTAAGTTCCAAATAGGGTCTTAACCCTTAATGCTCTAAAAATTAATAATTTCTGTTTCATGTGTTTCAGCTGACATCGACGGAGTCCCTATTGGTCAACCGGTAAATTAATGCTATTGTTTTAATAAAATGTGCTTTTTATAATATGCTATTCTTTAGGACAATGCTATTTATTACTTGTTCGAATTTGATTATTAAATCCTGCAGACGGGGTTGAATTGGCTTTTCATATGTCCAAAAGGAATTCGGAGCCTTGTGCTTTACATAAAAGAAAAGTACAAGAATCCTCCCATTTTCATCACTGAAAATGGTAAAGCAATTAGATTAAAATTTTCACTTATTTATATCTATATAACATGAAATATATATATATATATATATATTGATGTATGATTTGTGTTTCTCATGATAAAGGCTTGGCGGAGTCAAGAAATGATTCAATTCCTCGTGAAGTAGCCCTAAAGGATGTGATACGGATAAAGTATCATGAAAGCCATCTATGGTATCTCCAAAAGGCAATCAAGTGAGTGCTTTATTTTCTAATTTTTTAAATTTTTTTGTCTGGATGACATCTTTATAACAATCCTTCAATTAAGAAAAATAAAATCACTGATGCCATAAAATTTATCTTTTTGTAAGTTCATTCAAGTCAATGCCGCAAAATTCTTAATGTATATATGTTCCAGTTGAATGCCAAAACCATAAAGAAAGATCGTCAGGTTTGGTCTTACCAGATGAATTGATTAAACATAAAAAACCCATTTCTCGTTAATTGGTTGTCTACTTAAATCCAGTTTGGTTCTGAAACAAAAAAAAAAATCCGGCTTGATTTGATTTTACGTTCTAAAATACATGGCTTTAGGATTAAACCGTGGAACAAGAACTGTATTAATATAAAATTGGTCAAGTTCAATTTGTTAACCTCGATGAGAAAAATCAGAGGACTCGAAGACAAACGTTATAAACTTTTACTTTTAAGAAAAATTAGACTTATTTAAAAGCTGGCCTATTTATATGCAGGGAAGGAGCAAATGTAAAGGGATATTTTGCTTGGTCTTTCATTGATGATTATGAATGGGATGCTGGCCTCACTCTCAGATTTGGCCTCAACTATGTGGATTACAAAGAAGGAATGAAACGATTTCCTAAGCTTTCTGCCCTTTGGTTTAAGAAATTTCTTCGAAAACCATCTAAATAGGCGCGGCCAATCTTGTTTATGTGTTAGTAGGCTTAGTTTTAATGCTGGTCACCTAATTATGTATGCATATGCAATAATCTATGTGTCTATGCATACACAATTACCTATATACCCCAAGAAGAATAATAATCTGATTTTCAGAAATTTTGATTTTTGAGGTATAAAATGTGTTCATTTGCTGTGAAGAATATATTTTTATGGTTATATTGAAGTCTTTTACTGCCAATGGAGAATATACTGTTCTGTTTGGTTGGTATGATTTGCAAAAAATAATTTTCAAATATTATTCAACTCGTATCATAGACACGATTTTCATCTATTTTTTATTTCGGATATATCATATTATAAAAAGTGCTACAATGTTATATATTTTTTTGATAGAAAATATTATTTCATTCAAACAAATCTGTACTAATGGCAGAAAATAAATCAAACAAACATGACACAGATACATATAGATCTGAAATCAATAGATATACCAGATCTAAGAAAACAATATAAATAAAGATAAAATTGATATTCCTATATATCTTCCATCCGGATAAATCATTGTAGTCCAATACATCAGTGCATGTCCGCTGACAATCAAATTTGTTTAAAACTGATTCAAGTTCAAAGAGAAATTTAGATCTAACAATAATAGAAAAATTGCAAATATGAGAAACTAGATTCTAGATCTACAAAATTTCAAATTTCACAAAGATAAAAACTTAAAAAACTCTTATAAAAAAACCCAAATAAGAACAAAACTCTTACTAGAACAATTTAGGAGAGAAGAAAATCTCACTAGAAAATTCTATGAGAAAAGAATCACTCATTAGGAAATCTTAGGAGAAAATTTATTCAAATAAAATAAATTAAAAACTATAAAGAGTACGTCCTCCCGTGAGGAAAGACTAGATTTGATCTCTCTGCCATGGGAGAGATGAAAAAGATTTTGATGGAAGAGTTCTAGAGAGAACGGAGAGCAAAGAGTTTTAAAGAGAGAAGAGAATATGTTTTCTAATGTTAATTCATGCTATTTTAATATATATATATATATATATATATATAGTTTTTAAATAATCTCCTATCCAAACAACCCCACGTAATATGTGATAGGTTGCAATTTTATCATTTATTTCATTATTAATTTTCCCAATTACTTGACCTGATGTGAATTAATTATTGGATTTTACTCACTTTTCGTAATTTATATTTATTTCAGGGAGTAGAACAAAAATATCACAATAAAGGCCAATTTGATAGTTATCAGGAAAGAGTTCACATAGCAAGCAATCGAGGGCATTTTTGGAATAAGGAGATACAAGTCCTTTTTGGTAATTCGCAGAGGGCAGCATTAAAAGGAGGAACGCAGGGCTGAAGTGGGGGGTCTTCTTCCCCCTGGGGGAGCCGCCGCACAGAGGGAGCTGGCTTCCTTCTTAGTTTCTTCCATTTTTATAGTTTAGCTTTTCCTTTGACCGTTTGGTCTCCTTCGTCTTGTAGTGGAGAGCTTTTGACTTTTCCTTGGAATATTTTGTGGCTACCTCTACGTGAGTCAGGAGCACTGAAGACTAAATCATCCATTGTTACTTTACTTTGCTTTATTCCTTCGAGTGAATTGCATTTCCCAATTTCGGAGTTGATGGCCGCGACTCTTGTTACAATTTTGTGTGGATTTTGTTCATCAATTATGAACTAATTTCCTCACTCTAGTCAAGGAACAACGAAGGCTCTGGGTCGTCTAAAATTTGTGAGATCGATTTAATTTTATCTTTTTCTTTTATTTATTGGTATCCGCATATTTCTTGGTTGCTATGCTTATGGTTATTTAATTAATTGATTGTCTTGGATCCAGATAATTAGTTGATTGGGTAATCTATTGTCAATTAGGGCATTAAATCCGTAATTGTTTAATTGCTCTAAAATAGTGGCAACTGGCATGATTAGGTTTGTGTCAGGGAAATACGCGGGCTAATCTAAAATAACCCTGGTAGTGCGTTATTTGATTAGAATAGAGCTCCTCTAATATGTAAGGCAATTGGGGAATTAAATTCTACGGGCGTACCTAGGATTATTTCTCAATTAGAGCAGTGATTAACGGGCGTACCTTGATCACCGACACAGTAAGGAGGGGTTGACTGTCATCGCTTGTTTGGTAGTCATAACCTATTTATTGATGAATAATTGGAATTGCCTTTGCTTATCGATGATCAATTAGATGAACCATTGCTGAAGTTATTCCTTGGCTAGATCCTTAATTATCACTCATTTGATTTTAGTAATTTGTTATTTAATTTTTAGTAGTTTCTTAGATTTTAGTTGAATTTCTTTGATTGTCACCTTCTGCACAAAGACACTCCCTTGTCACTGTGAACTTGAAAAGAAATAATTACTCCCAGTCCCTGTGGATTCGACCCTGCTCACCGCTATCTACAGAAATCACTTTTAGTTTGAGCAGGTATTTATTATTGCACAGGCTTCGACGACCTGTCAATCTTTGGCGCCGTTGCCGGGGACTGGTGCCAGATTAAATTGTTTCTTTTTGAGTTTATCTTGTTTTCATTTTTTTAATTTATTTTTCTCTTATTTTTTATTATTATTATTATTTTTTTTATGGCTGCTAACATTCCATATTTTGATGATAGACTGGATTTTGTTCCTGAATGGGGTTATGAGACTCATGTTTTTCCTAACGATCAATGGGCTGTTGCAAATTGTGGAACTTATTTTGACTCAAGTTATTCAACTGACACATGCCCCGTATTTCAAGATAATTTAAGTTCTCCACTTGATACTTTTGGAGATTTTTCACCCCAATATCAAACGTGGTATGACCCTTATTCAAACGGGTATGATCAAGGATGGTGGGATAATTCCAATTTTGATTATGCGACCGGGCCAATGGATTTTCAACAGCAAGAGTCTCAGCAATCATCCTCCGTGTCAGGTATGTCTCTTGAAGAAATGATAGGTTTACTAATTGCTAATTCAAATCGATTTCATCAGGAGACACAAGCGAGCCTAAATCGATTTCATCAGAGGACACAAGCGAGCTGTCGCGACCTGGCGGATCAACTGCGTCAATTGACAGCCAGGATGCAGCGATTAGAGGCTCACCTTGAAGAATTGCCCTCGCAAACCAATATCAATCTTGAGGAAGATGAGAGTGCAATTGTCCGGGCAAATGACATGGAACTGCAAGAGTTTCAAGAAAACGGATTTAAAGATGCAGTTGAAAAGGAAGCTGAAGTGCAAGAAATGAGACTCCAAGATCAACTCGTTCAAGTGAATGAATCCAGTGAACAATCTCCAAATGCGGTGACATTTTCTCCACTCCTTAATCAATATTTTCCTGGCTCCTATTCTTCAACTCCTGTTACTGAAATTGATTTTATTATACCAGAAAATTTAAAATTTCATGACAGGAATAAGTTAAGAGTGGAGATGGCAAAATATCTTGAACCAATGAATGCGTGTGATGGAGGAGTGAGTGGAGAATGCAGATCATTGTTGACTTGTTTAGCGCCATTTACTAGTCCATGGAAGCCCGTAACTCGTGTGCCCAAGAATTACTCCATCTATGAGGGTTACCAGGATCACGTTGAAGATGAAGCATTGAAGCGAGCCACAAGATTTTATCCTCCATGAGCAAAACATGATAATGTCTAGCCAAAGACATTAAAGAAAGGCGCTCATTGGGAGGCAACCCAATTTCTTTTAGTTGTTTGTTTGATTTTATTTGTTAGTTTAATTATGTTTTTCCTTGAATTCGACTGATTTTGGGTTTCAGTTTTCGTTTTTGCTGATTTATAGGTGCCCTTCAGTCATGACGCGCCAGCGTGGTGACGTGCAGGAAGCTCACGATCAGAAACTTCTGGGAGCTCTCTTGCCCTCGTGACGCGCCCGCGTGGTGACGTGCAGGAAGCTCACGATCAGAAACTTCTGGGAGCTCTCTTGCCTTCATGGCGCGCCCACGTCACGTTCGCGGGAGAGATAAGTATTTAAAAAAATTCAAGAACGGTTGTTGATTGTTGGTTATCTCTGCTTTTGAATCTCAAAAATAAAATTTGCTAATTTTTTTTTATTTAAAAAAAAAAAATTTTTAAATTTTTGTTCCACCGTAGCTCAGATTTTCAAATTATAAAAAAAAAACAATTTCTCTTTCTTTTCTTTTCTTTCTTTCCTTTCTTTTTCTTTCTTTTTCTTTCTTTCTTCTTCTTTCTTTTTCTTTTCTTTCTTTCTTCTCCTCTATTTTGCTCTGTCCGCCGCCCGTGCCCACCGCCATCTCCAACTCCACCGCGCGCCACCCTCTTCCTCGACCAGACCGCGCGCCGCCGTTCCTCCTTGGCGACCAGCCCCACCACCAGCCCGCGCCGCACCTGCTGGCCAACCCATCAACTCCTAAGCTCGCGAACCTCCTCAGCTCAGCTCGCCGCCAGATCTCCTCTTCCTCCCGCGCGGCAGCATCACGTACTACCACCAGCTCGTCGCTTCCCTTGCTCACTCCACCGCTCCTGCTGTCCACCACCTTGCGCGCGCGCAACTCCAATCGACTGCACGCCGCCATTGCGGGCAGCCTCACCTCGCGGCCACCATCAGCTCGTGCCACTCTACCCTCAACTCAACCCAAGCTCTTCACCGCCGCTGCTCCGCTGTTCGCTCCATTCCCACCTGTCCAAATCGACAGGTGGAGGTATTGTAATTTCCTTTTTCGATTAGTGTTTTCTGGTTCATCACTTACTAAATTTTGCACATTTTTCGTGGGTTTGGTGATGGCTGAAGGCAGGACATGATTTGGGCATTTTCTGGGGTTCATTTTGGGCTGAATTGAGTTTAATTGCTGCTTGATTGTTGGCCATTTGATTAAATTTTCCCTGTGACTCACCAGTGGTACTGGTTGATTAATTTTCCAGTTTAAGTTCTTGCGGTTGAGTTGCTGCCATTGAATTTAATTCTTTCCTGTCTGTGCACCAGTGGTACTGGTTGCAGTGTTGCTTTCCATTTCTTAATCCTCTGTACTGGCCTGCCTATTTGATTCTTGGGTTTTGGTGCCTGAACTATTCTCGAATTCTAACCATTGGTTGTTGCCATTGCCTGTTGCTTGGCCCAATTGCTAAGTTTTGATCGTTTGAGTTGTGCAATTTCTTGTCCAATTGGAGCCATTTGGACAGATTTTGGGTGGGCAAGTTTTGCCGATCTCTGTTGATCTTTGGGAGGCATTTCTGACCGTATTCTACGTATTCAAATTGGTTGAATTCACTGCTTTGTTAAGGTCATTTGGTTTCACCTGAGTCTATTGTCCTGCCTTCTGTTTTGAGTCCATTGGAGTGACGTGAGTTGAGTAATTTCTGCTTTTGTTGGTTGATTTGGAAGGCTACTGTGCCACTTTCATTGCTTATTGCTTAGTGATTATGTCTAATTAACAATGTGCATAGCATGGCACAGAATTTGGCAGCATTCATGTAGCATGCGGGTCTTATACCTAAATTGGGTACCTCTATTTGGTTGGCTGCGTTCTTATTGTCCAATATCTATGCTGTTTTCAATGGAATTGCTGATCTTGGGTTAAGACTTTAGCTGGCCAACTGGAGCCATTTGTTGAGATTTTGGGTGAACTGCAATACTGCACTCGTTTGTTCAATTGGGAGGTTTCTTTTGGTATTCTGGTTGAGTTATTTCTAAAGTTGCCTGATGAATTGAGAGACATTGCTTGGTATTGCTTGGTTGCCAGTGCGCATTCTCTACGCCAAGTGGCAAGGATGTCTCAGAACTCGGCTTCCCTCCACTGTTCCCTCCTATCCCTTAGCTGTTCAGCAGGGAAGTCTCATTACCCTCTTCGCTTTAATTATTTTATTACCTCCATTGAGGACAATGTAGGATTTAGGTGTGGGGGGAGCAGTTATGGTGCTAGTGTCTTTCGTTCATTTTTTTTTCTTCTTTTTAGTGATTGGCTCGTAAGTGCATGCCAAGGTTTGATGTTGGATTATTGCCTCTATTTCTACTTTTGCCAAGTTTTAATAATAAAAGGGTATCAAGTTAATGTGGTTGAATCCAAAAACATCTCTTTGGTGAATATCAATAATTGTTTTACTCTTATAATTTTTTGGTTAACTTTCCTAGGCATAGGGAATGATTATTGGCATTTTTAGTGAATTGGTCCGGTTATTAACCTTAGTTCTCCATGTTTGAAAATGAGGCTAGCTGATGCAAGTTTTCTTTTGGTTCTTGTGTTATATTGAGTTTTTGTGATTTTTATCTCTGAATAATCTTGACTGTACTCCGCTATTAGTTACTACTGAGTAACCGGGGATCTGCACCTAAAAGTGTTGATTCTCGCGTCAAAAGGTAGTAGTTCCTATGAGTACGTGGTCACGTGGCGATAGAAGCTGAGTAACCGGGCTCCTTCATCTGGCCAATGTTGGAATTCGCGTCAAAAGGCTCTAATGGCTAGCGACTAAGTCTTTTGTTACTATTGAAAAACAAAAAAAAAACAAAAAAAAAACAAAAAAAAAGAAAAAAGAGAAAAGTAGGAAAGTGTGAAAAAAAGAAAAAAAGTGAAGGTTGTGTTAGTGTGTAATAAAAGTCAGCTTGCCGAATTATGGATTTAATGTTGAGATTTTGGTTAATAGTTGGACCATTTGCTGATAA